AAGTACTCTAAACTGTATAAATAATGTAAAATTAAATTGAATTTATTAGCCAATCAGACAAACTTCTGCCTATGAGAATAACTCGAGTTAGTTTGATGATAATTACGTTATCACCATCAAAACAACTCGAGTCTTTCTGATGGTCTAGTCGTCGTAAGTTATCGGATACAGTAATACCGTTATCGAATGCTACGTACCAATAACTTACTTATCTGGCTTGGGCCCAGAAGCTGGCACATTAAATTTAAAACTGGATAATGGAGTATTTTTACAAACAGTGTACAGTTATTGGATGCCCGATTATGAATTGCTTATGAATCGCTTATGATTTTTCGTATGTATATAACCTGTTTACTTATAAGTTTTTGTACATATGTACCTGATTGTGACCTAATTACTTATAAATCTTGTGTATAGGAAGTGTTAGTACGCATGGATTATTTTACTAATTTTAAATATCATATGACTTAATCACTTTGTCATTATTATACCAGCTAATTTTTAATAATCACAGTGTTTTAACTAGATATTTCGCCTTATGGTTTAATTTAGGCTGAAATTTGAAAGTTTATCCTGCGCGTTATTTCGCGGGTTTACAATAATTAAAGTTGAGCATTTTTATTAGTGCACCAAGATGGGTTTAGAAATTAGGTTTCCTGTATTTTCATTTTTTCTTCGTCGGTTCATTAAACAAACAAGCTGATTATTCATATATCGTTTGATCGCGCCCTGTTAGAGCTTCATTATAATCAGTATAATTTGTTTACCATAAATCTTGAAAAACCTTTAACTATAATTGCATTATGATATTGACGAATATTTATAAATTCAGATCATCTTATTGCAAATAATATTATGCCAGACCCTGGTTATGAAATTAAAGGTTCCAACACTATACTATACATGGGCAAATCACAGGTTGGATAATTTTAGAAAATAGGGTAACAGGCCATGAATTTGAAGCTGGAAGTTGGAAATATTAGGTCACTTAAATATATGACTTGAATATATTTCATGTTCTAAATATATTTAATATTTAGGCATTTTACTTTTTCCTCGTGGAAACAATAATCCAGACGTTGTTTTAATTTATCTGAATTTTGCTGATACAAAAGGTGACCTGACGGTTGGCATTGCAGGGGAAATTTGCTTTGGAATTATGGAATCCAAAAGAACCAACATTTTATGTTTCATATATTACGTACGTACATATTAAATTATTTACCGTCTGATGATTCATACAACTAATATTCTAATTTTAATTATAGATTCGCATCAGCCGAACACCAAAATTGGGATTTAAACAAGTTTGCAATTTAAATAACGATAAACTGTTTGTCCCATCAAATAAATATACACTTCCATTACAGCGCTAATAGAAAATGATGCCTGTAATATTACAACATTATAAAAGATCCCAACTGGTATCTTATGGCATAACTTTATAAAATATTCTATCTTCTTTTAAAATTATATTATGGCTTTATATTTAATTTTATGTAAACTTTTTTATATAATTAAGATTAGACCGATTTACTTATTTCCGCGGGTAATACAAAGTAAATTGAGCATGAAATAAAGTCGTGAAAGTATAAATTTAAGGTTAGACGATGTCATTTAATATATGTAAAATTTTGTTCTCAACATTTTAATTAGTACAACGTTTTCGCTTTCTTCTTTCACACGTGTACGGATTCTATGTCACATGTCACGGAAAATTTTCGAAATTACGATACCACCCGGCTCCGATTAGGCTTGATTCTATGTTTTACATTACACCCCTCCTTCTGAAGGGGAGAGGGAGGTAATGTAAAACACATAATCTGGCTGGTCTCGCCTTATACATTTTCCACATTTTGATGATCGAACGATTATCCGGCTCCGATTACTACATATTGATGATCGTACGGTTAACCGGCTCCGATTATTTATTCTTACCACATTTTCTCTTCGTTATTACCTCATTTTTCCTCAATACCAACACTTACGCAATATTTTTTTCGATTTTTCCTATTACTACATATTTACCGCCCATTATTGTAGCTTTGCAACATTTCGTAATAATGATCGTTAGATTACTTCATTTTTACTACATGTACAAGAAAGTGTGTTTAAAGGATAGTTTCCAATAGAAAGTGAAGGGAAATTTGGGATATATATATTTTTTTGATATACATAACATACAATAAACACTTGTATATAACACTTATCTCAAAATCACTTTAAATAATAAAATTATCTTTGCCAACGAGACTATTAATAAACGTACTGTAATTAATAACCTTAAATAAAACCTTAAATAAAACCTGCAATAATCTGAAATAATTAAACTACTTGCATAAACCTCACGCATTCGATATTTAGGTACTCCCTGCGGATATAATAACAATAAATAATAACTCTAGAATTCACACACTAAGTAAACGATCACTTGAATAAATATCCGATAATAACGAGGAATAACCCCTTCTATGCTCACGGTCTAGAGCTTAATTCGGGAATAATAATAGAAAAGTCTCTCCCGGACCGTGACACAGGCTGGATTGTTTCCTTTTTGGGAGTTTGTACTACACACACTAAAATAAGCAGACTAATATTGTCGTCACTAGTAACGAACTATTTTTTATATTGCTGTATTGAGGTAATTAAGTCACGACCTTAGATATTATCATTATTTTCTGCCCCTTTACATATTGCAATCTGCATGGTGATCGGCAAAATGCGCTTCCCACGCATCGTTAATTATGACTCAAAAAAAGTGACTGGATACGTTAACCTAAAAAACCATGGTGCAACAAGTTATTTAAACGTCGAGTTGCAATTATTATATAGCTTAAAATATTTTCGTAAGGTTAGTGTCTCTAATTAATTTGAAAGCAAACCGTTTTACATTAAATTTAATGGTGCCCTTTTTTTGATTATAGGCGATATATCAAATCCCAACGGAATATGATGAACCAAATAAAAGTATTCCTTTGGCGATGCAAAAGATTTTTTATAAATTACAAGTATCGAATACATACGTTGAAACAAAGGAATTAATAAAATCATTTGGGTGGAATCCATCAGATTGTTATACATCGCATGATGTACAGGAGTTCGATAGTGTACTCTTAGATAATTTAGAAGGTAAATTGAAGGTAGGCTTATTATTTATTAAATTAGTCATATTTCAAGACATTAAAGCTTTCTCATTATATGACTAATTCGTTGGGTTTAAGAATACAACTGTAGATGGTGTTATTTCTGAACTCTTTGTAGGAAAAATTAAGAGCTATGCTGTGTGTGTCAACATAAATTATGAGAATTCACTTATTGATAATTATTATGGTACTAGTGAAAATATGTAATACATATAACTATAAATTTTAAAATTGGATTAAATTAATTCATGATTTTATCGCGATAGATATTCAACTTGAAATAAAAGGGTGCAAAACCTTAAATGATTCTTTCCTAAAATATATTCGTGAAGAATCTTGTGAAGGGAATAATCAATACCAAACTGGAATCTATGGTTTGCAAGTAAGTTATATTTTTGGCTATAATGAAACTGAGTGCAAAAGATTTTGACTCTATTTGTCTATAGGATGCAAAGAAAGGAGTAATTTTTGAAAGTTTTCCACCCGTACTAC